TGCCTATTCTTCCGATTTTCTACTCGAAAGAAGAGTATAATTCGGTTTTAAAAAACTTCTAATTGTAACATTTTAATACCGTGAAATGGCCGTTCATAAAACATCACGCATCTGCATCTGCAAAGTTAACAATAATACTGGGGAAGTAGAAACGTTTTTTAAAATCGAATTATACTCTTTCGAGGAGAAAATCTTCTTTTGAGTATAAAATTGGAAGAATACGTAATTTTCTACCGAATAGGCAAAATAATGAATATACTTATACATGTTTTCCATGAAATATAACTGAATATTTAAGGACATCGAAAATCAATGACAGAATTAAATGCTAATTAAGTAGTCATTTTTTGCAGAACAGAAATCTTGCATGCTGACGAAAATATGTTCATCCGAAAGCCGACACCCTGAGGTAACTGGCTCGTTATAGAATTATGCTGCATGATGATCGATTTTACAACCCTACTTAATTAATCTTTTCGAAACGAAAACGCATTTCGAAATTTCGGTTGACATTTCATGAGTTAGCCGACCTACTGTATTTTGATGGTAGCATTAGCTCAGCCGTCTCGTCTTCTCCCATGCCCAGGGCTAAATATGCGTTTAAGCTCTGTTCTCCCAGAGTTACCATTCTCTTCTCCTAAGTGTAGACAACCAAGTTTTGTGTTCACGAGCCATTCGTACGGATCATGCAGTTGTCCTGGACAAAATCCGTCCCCGATGACAGGCCACACTAAAAGACAGGTCATCCAAACATATTGCGAGATATCGACTGATTGAACTCGCTCAAATCCTGTAACACCGACAACACCGCAACTATACCGCGAAATCCACTTTCGTTGACATTGTACGTACACGTCTCGCATCCGACCTGGCGTGTCCCTAACGAATTCATCGCGTGGAGATTGGCGAATCAGTACCTGGAGCACCAACATACACCCGCTGCCACTACCTCAACTGTCTGAATTGCTCTAGCACATTCAGTCGTCGCATGGGCCTTAGTGGTCCCATGGGCCTCCATGAGAATCTGCGGCAAATCACTGCAGACGTTAACACATCACTACACACTTCCCGATCAACACATGCGTTGCACACAAAGCACCTCGAATATCACTACGCAAGCCCCTTTCCCATATGGAAGGTGTGTTAACTCATGAAATGTTAACCGAATTTCTGGCATACGTTTTCGACTCGAAAAGATTAATTGAGTAGAGTTGTGAAATTAATAATCATGCAGCATAATTCTATGACATTTCAGTTATTTTGGGACGCCAGCTTATGAACGAACTCCTTTTGGGATGCCTGCAATAGCTACATCCTGTAGAAAATGACAACTTAAGTATTAAGAATTTTCGCATTGCGTTTCGATGTAATTTTAAATAAAAATATATCTCTTAGAAAATATGGACAAAAGTACTACATCGTTTCCTCACTCGGAAGAAAATTACGTTTTCTTTAAATTTTTTGCCCGAGGGAAGGGTATAAGTAGGTTTCAAAAAGTTTATAATTTTTATATTTTTTTAAGACTGTGAAAAGCCCGCTCGTGAAATATCGTGTCTCTACGTTCACTAATGTTGCTTGATAAGTCTACAATATGGCTCGAATCGACTGGTGAATCATATGAACGACATACAGTCTCCTTTCACTAGCGGTTAGAAATGTATGATCTTCCTTACACGGCAAATATGCAGCTTGCAGTTTGAAAACCCTGAATGCACGCGTAACGACAGGCCGAGCTCAGAATTATTCAGGAATTAGAAACGTTTTTAAACCCTCATCATACCCTTTTTCTAAGTATAGGATTTAAACGAGGCGTAGTGCTCTTCCAAATGAGTAAAAGAATTAATACTTTATCCCGTTTTCTATGAAATATATTTGAATTTATAAGTACATCGAATCGCAATGCGAAAAATTTTTGCTATTTAAGTAGTCATTTTCTACAGGGTGTAGTTCTTGCAGGCAGCTTGAAAGAAGTTCGTTCAAAGGCTGGCGTCCCGAAGTAACTGAGATATCATAGGATTATGCTGCCCAGTGACTAATATTACAACCCTACGTAGGCAGTCTTTTCAAGTCGAAAGTGCACTTCAGAGTTTCGACTAAAATTCCATGTTGGCATACCTACTGTGTGTGTGTGTGAGAAGGGCGTTCTTCAGCTGCCTCTCCGTGTGACGCCTCTATTATATGTGAGATCTGGGCAGTCTGCCCTCTGTGTGGGAGCCTGGTGTGTACGTATGGCGAGAGGGGTCGCGTCTGTGGCACGCGCAGAAAGGCTATTCGTAGCTCTACCAGCCATCTCTCGCTATCTCTACATTGGTTAGTTGACTGGCCCGGTGCACAGGATAGGGTAGAGTGAGATCGAGTTAATTTTACGTGCCTGAGGCTGCCACAGTGCGCCAGAATCTGTGGGTTGAATGATTTCCAACTGATGCTTTAAATCAGACTTCGCAGTCAGCCCAGCTGTGTGTATCTGTGCGTTGAGTGGCCGACTGAGGGTCGGGCTACGATGGCTCCGTCTTAATCACACTCTAACACATCCACGGTCCAAGCTGCCTGTCCCCTATGTGTGTTATGCTGGTGTGTGTGTGCACATGCGGCAGCTGATCGTGTAGGTGAACTTTGTAACACACTCACTCAGTTGGAATCCGAGTCGCTCCTCCTCTTCTTCTTCTTGATGTATAAAATCCCAGTCAGTCCTACCCGGTGGACCGGTAGCACGCCTAGGTGCGAGATTTCACCGTGCCATCTACCTGCGTTCTCCCTCATCCCAGTCTTCTTAGCGCCGTCATGACTACATGCGAGCGAGCGCGATGGATCCCGCGCAAGTCTACCATAATTGCTATCACAGTTGCTCTCAAGTCATCGTCCCTGCTCCCACCCCGTTGTGGAGCGCATGGTAGACACCAGCAAAAACTACGGTCGAATTGTAATTTGGCCTCTGATAAATGATACCCTATTAGGGGCTTACTTAGCGCCTTGTGCTGCACGAAAGAGGTGGAATTTGGCAGTCCAATGAGCTGTTATAAGACGTCCCAGCCTGCGGCTGCAGTCGAGATATCCACTGCCTCTTTCAGGACGCCTCACATGTTAATCCCGAGGTCGCATTTTTTGCGAATCCCAAGATAACGGCAGCGGTTCTGGTTAGCAAGTCACTGATTTGCGTCACCAGCTGGCAACTTGTATTCGCAAGTCCAGCGCTCATTCAGCGTAAACCTTGCTTGATGGCAGGGACATCTAACTTAAATATAACAAACAGCGCAATAGCTCGCCGGGATTTTGTCAACACCTACGCCTGTCAGAAGTGCCCTTGGTGCTACAGAACACCCCCAACACCCACAGTGAAAGAACGGTAGAATTTGGGGAACTGGGCTGTTTTCAATGACCAGTTTTTGTGTTGGAACACGGTTGATCTCAGCACCAGATATGCCAGTGAATTTGCCAGGACCGATATGGCGGCAGGGCAGTAGATGGCGATATTTACCACCAGCACCTGTCCTGGTAGCTACCATTCAACCACTCCGGGGAAGGGGGGGGGGGAGAAAGTTTAACGTGTGAAACACTGATTATCACAAATGACAAGGTTCATCAATGTCCGGGGCTGGGCGTGGTGGTGACTTGTGCGTAAATTTGTTTATGGGGCGACAGACTTGAGCTGCCTCTGCCATGTCCAACTCTAATTTCACACCGGCACACCCTACTGGTAAGGTGGAGTGATTACAGGTTCACCTAAGCACTCCCTTCCCTTTAGTTGCAGCTCGAAACTGGCACATAACGATTACTCGTCAACCTTTCGCATCGCAAACGACGAAGGCTATCAGCGTCCTGAGGTGGGTGTAGTGGTGACCCGTGTATGAATTTTTTTTAAGCGGAACAAGCTCCTCGCTAACTTGTCCAATCTCGGCCAGGTTACAATGGCAGGGCGTGGGCTTTGGCCACGGAAGACCGACGTCTGTGTCAACGTCTTTTGAAAACGTTACACTGGATTCGCTAGCCGCATTGCCACTACCTCTGCTATAGCTAGCACCCGTTGGTGTAAGCCTTTAAAGATGTTTGCTGGTGTCCGGTAGACAACCTGAAAGACTTCTTTGACATCGACTGAGTGATTCGTATCGACAAGATAAGCTAGAATAGAACTCAAAATCAGTTTATTTTCAGCTCTGCCAAATCAGGCCGGTATGTGTTCACGTACTGTCTTTTCCAGGCACCTCTTTGTACGGCCAATGTATCCCGCTCCACAGGAGCAAGTCAAAGGGTAAATACACATCGATGTAGCCTGAAATGTTAGTCGGTCTTTACATCCCGCGCGTAAATTCACCCCGGGAAAGCGCTAATGACCGCCGTCTCCAGACCTCGTCTTATTGGGTCGTTTGCTGCGTCCGCTTGAAAAGACAGTCTTATAAATAAGCCTTTCTTATCTGCAGTTGCCATGGTGGACTTTGCAGTGCGTTCCGCAACGGATACGCAGGGCATATTTATCCTCCGAAATATTGAAGAGCGCATTGCAAAGCCCACCATGGCGATTGCGTGAACGATCAAGCTTCAAACCAGATTCAGTCAATGTCAGCCTGGTCAGTTGATTGGCTGATAGTGGAGTTTGTGGGTGCCTATGATTGGCTATCCTCGCAGCTGACTGTGCTCACGTTCTGGCGCTCGGGGGTCGTGATCACATGACTGTCAGCGCAGCGTGGTTGTCCGAGGCCGGAGGTTTAATATCGCTTGAAGCGCTACAAATTTCTTTGGTTGTTCTTGTGTGCGCACATGTGTATCGAGCCCAACATCAACTGGTTACTTTTAATACTACTCATTGTCCGCCATCGCGCCCAATCTGAGTCTAAGATGATACTGCGGACGTCCATCTTTTCCAGGCTCTGAACGTCCTTTTCTTCCGTGGGGTGAATGTATCCGCTTTTCTGACACAAATTTGGTACTTGGGACACGTAGGTACTCGGGCAGGATGAACTGCATGCCAATTGTGGATCTATTGTTACCGCGTGTGGAGGTTCTGAATGATTTTGGAGATGTGAGTCGGCATTTGATCATTAATCTTGATGTTTCTAGCGAAGATAATTCTTGGGAATGTGAAATTGTTTACAGCCCTGAGGCGAATGCCACTAGTATTTACTCCAAGTCCGATGCGATGGCCAGCTGGCGGTACTTGCAGTAGGTGGGCTAACTTGTGAAATGTCAATCGAAATTTCAAAATGCGTTCTCGTCTCGAAAAGATTAACTAAGTAGGGTTGTCAAACTAATCCTCAAGCAGCATAATCCTATAATGATTCAGTTACCTCAGGGTGTCGGCTTTAGAATGAGCTTATTTCGATTGCATGCAAAAACTACACCGTGCAAAAAATGACTACTTAAGAAGCAGGAATTTTTATCCTTGATTTTCGATGACCTTAAAAATTCAATTATCTTTCATGGGAAACATGCATAAAAATATTGACCCTTTTACTTATTCGATTGAAAATCACGTCTTCTTCCAAGCTTATACTCGAAGGAAGAGTGGAATTCTGTTTTCAAAAGCTTTTCCAATTCCCGAATAATTTTGAACCCGCTCTACCGTCGCACTTGGATTCAGGGTTCCCAAGCTGCAAGCCGTATATTTTCCGCGTACGGATAACCACAAATTTCTCTGCAGTAATAAGGGGGAACCAAATAGGGTTCATAAACTTTAGCAGTGGATTTAAGCCACGTTGCTAACTTCACACGCAACATTGGTAAATGCAAAGGCATTACAGTTTGTGAACGGCCATTACACAGTATTTAGAAGTCTCACAATTGTAAACTTTTTAAGACCGAATTATATCTCTTCTTCGAGTATAACATTAGAAGAAGACGTATTTTTCTACCGAAAGAAAGAATGAATATTTTTATGCATGTTTTCCATGAGATATAATTGGACTTTTAGGGAATCGAAAATCAATGAGAAAAATCCATTTGCATAGTGTAGTTTTTGCATGCAGCCGGAAGAAAGTTCCTTCGAAAGCCGGCTACCTAACGTAACTGAAATATCAGGCTGATTAGTTTTCCAACCCTATTTAATTAATCTTTTCGAAACGAAAACGCATTCCGGAATTTCGGTTGACACTTCATGAGTTAGCCCACTAACTGCACCTAGTGTTTACTCCCTGGTAATGGGCATTTAAAAACTTGAACAATTGTCATTTTCGTCTCGTTGGGGTGTTCACCACCACAGCATGCTGATCTAACCACTCAGCAAATGCGTGCTTTAGCGTTGCCAGCTGTGTAAGAAGGAACGCATCAACGTTGACTTCATGCTTTATCAGAGGCAGATGTCCCACGTGATTGATGGGACCCTGAAACGGCAACGAAACTCTCTGGCACATAAGACCTACTGCCAGTAATTCCGTCCCGCTAGGGACAGAGGGAAATTGCTCGTGTGAACTGTCCGCTGTCAATACGAATGTATGCAGAAAATAACGAACGTTCTCTTGGTCTGCGCTGACCACAGGTGGTTCAGTGGACCAGGTAGTCATCAGACGTCTGCGCTTTAATATCACACAGAGCTCGCGATTAAATGGTGGCCGAGCACATATGAGATATCGCAATTGACCTCAGTTTAGCAAATATAAAAGACCCGGGTCGATAATCTGAGATGTGGGAATGGCTCACCGAAGCAGTGGAGGGGTGTGGCTGACGTTTCAGAGGACTTGGGCAGCCCTCTACTATAAGAGATTTTTATGCGAAAAATTTACCAGAGTTTGAGTTTGCTCGGTATTTTTAAGCCCCTTGTGATCGTCCTGGCGTATGTAGTGACGCAGGACTTTATAGGATCCAGGAAGATTTAGATGACCGGTGATGGAATTGGCACATGAGGGTCAAGTCTCACGTGTAAGCAATTCTGCCCTTGAGGTGACTCCACGTCCCAGGACTGCAAGTTGTGTGCTGGTTATGGATTTGGAAGAAAGGTTGTGAACAATGTCGCCAGGTCTCAATTTGTTCAATTTCACGGATAATTGTCTAACCTTTTTGAACTTGCCTCAAAAGTTGTTTATCAAATACGTCGTAATGATGGAAACTGCAGCAAGTTTGGGAAAACCGGACTGAAATTGCAGACCCGCCTACAAGAACACAAACTGGCAACTCGGAGACTAGATCCCAACTCACCGCCTGCGACTCCCATTGGAGAAAATGGTCACAGGTTTGGCTTTCAAGGAGTAACTGCCTTAGCTCAGGGCACATCAAGGACAGAACGTCATATACATGAGACTTGGCACTCAGATGCCAATTCCATAAACGGACATCTAGACCTTCCTGAACCCTATAAAGTCCTGCGTCACTACATACGCCATGACCAGGACAAAACGGTCACACGGAGCTTAAAAATGCCGAGTAGCCACGGGCCATCGAATAATTCACCAAAGAGGGTGGACAAGGGAGCATCCGATGCACATTGATGTGACGCCACACAACACAGGAGACCGCCAACATCCACAAACAACGACCAGAAAACCAAGGCAGCGAAAGAGGGAAGAAAACCGATCAGCCCCAGGCCAACTAATTCGGCCCGTTATATCAAACTTTGATCAATTTTACGCACAAAACGCCGCCCAGCCCTGCGAAACGGCAGCTTCACCACTCGACCGATTCCATGACTCATTCACAGTTCTCGGAATATCGCAGTTGTTTTGATGGTATTGTTTACAGGTAGCGATGAGGTCTGCCTGGCGAAATAAGTTGGACGACCCAAAATGTAGACAGCCAAAATAGACGAAATATTTCCCTTTGTGAGCGCACTGTGCTCCAAAAACGTCGCAAGAAGATGAGAGAAACAGAGAGGTAATTTATGATGCAGGAGAGTTGCGAGTTACAATTAGCGAGCGTTTTGCGAGAGCGAAGTGCAGTGTCCGCATTCGTGTCTGGTGAGTTGCTTTGGTGAGATATCAAGCGTGCTTCAGTGAACGATCATTTAACTGATTTGAAGACTTCAGCTGTTTACTGGTTGAACAAATGCGATGGCGATACTAGGGTGAACCGACATGGTTTGTCTGGGAAACTTGTCTGACTGTCATTGTGACCTGATTTTGCCCCTCCCACAGGGTACGGAGGCTCACGTGGAAAAGGAGTCTTACAGCGCTCGGAGAAGGGCCTGTCATCTCCATTGACGATTAGGATCTCCGCGACCTAAAACTTCCAGTCTCCAGTAAGATCACTACTGGTCTTTTTGAGTTGTTCATGAATAACATATAAACAACTTGAGAAGATGAGCAAAGAAATTTATCTGGTGTAGCTTCTCGAAGAACTTGAGGGTTAAACCCGTTCGACCAAGGCCCACCTACCCCGTGAGTTCGTAGGCGACCCCTAAGCAGGCCCCGAAGCCCTATTGAGTCCCGTTAACCAAAATATGGCAAGTATCCTGTCGCTAAAACCGTTTAACCCAGCAGCTGGCCTTCATTGATAAGTATATCCGATGATCTGCGATGATTTACACACTGGATTATGAGGCAGCCATTAAAGGTAAAATTTCTGCTTTCATTGACATGTTAGAAACCGTGTTCTTCCCACTTGCCAACCGAGAGTGAGATCCAGGCTGTCACTGGCCTAATCGTGCGACTCCAACTGAAAACCGTTCGGTGCGCCACGAAAGGCCGGATAACAGAACCAGTCACCATCTGCCGGCTCCTCCTAGCATTTGGTCATCCTTGAATTTGGGCCTCCTCTTTTACTCCATTGAACCAGATGCCGGCCACAACCGCCTGACTAATTGTCTGAAGTATGCTTTCACCTCGTCAAGTTACAACCACGGATTATATTTCCCGTGTAGCAACTAAGTGGTGAGAATGTGCACTTAAAAGGCTACAATCATCTGGCCAAACCCCATGTTTGAGGAGAAGACGGAAGGCGCCATAATGACGGTTTTCTTGTATACAGAACCCGGAGTTGTCCTCTGAGGCAGTAGTGGCCGCTGGCGAATCCAAGGCTTCTGTTGACTGCGTCCTGAGAGTCCTTGGAAAGGTGCTGACATTCGCTTTTGTAGGCCCGTGGACCAAGTTCATGCGGTGTCCAGGCCGTGTGTGCTGCAGTTGCCGAGGGTGACGCCTCATTGGCTTAGGCTGTGCTTGCATGGGTAGGGGGGGAGGGGGCTGCCACCGTGTAGAGGTATGCCCGGGCTGATGTCGGTCGAGTGGCTTCAGGTCAGCCTGTCTGGAACGGCTCACTGCAAGGGGGTGCATGAATTCGAGGCGGTGAGGCCTCGAGGTCATTGACGCCAGAATAGCCACGATGGCTGCCCACAACAAACTCCCAAAGCCCTACAGTTAGGTAATTTTTACCTCTTTGTATTCGACACGCTTCAAATTCTCTCAACCAAGTTCCTTGCGATTCTGTCTTTTTGGCCAAACGCCCCCCCTCAATCTTTCCTGATTTATTGATGAGCGTTTTACTGCCATGGCAACAGCAGTGAGAAGGAGAGTCTACAGCAAGGCGTCAGTTTGGGAGAACAGGTTACTTGGCATGAAAAACAACAGCAGTCCAGACATTCTCGGGACACAAGTTGATCTCTTTAAGACAGGTTTCAGTATCAAAGGTAGCCCGCAATGCAACAGACGAAATGATACACTAAAGTACGTTCTGATTCGTGTTTAAGCCAAAAAATGCCAACTTGCACTCTATCCCTCAACTTGTAGCGGCTAGTTGGTGAGGGTGTGCGGTCTGTAAGCCACGTCAAATTTCAAGTTGTGTTAAAAGGCAAGAGTCAGGCGGCAGTGGCCGCTGGCAAAGCCAAGGTTAGTATTGACTGCGTAGAGTCATGTCTGAGAGTCCTTAGAACGGTGTTGACAGCCGTTTTTGTGGGCTCGTGGGCCAAGCTCATGTGCTGTCCCATCCGTATATGTCGCACTCACCGAGGGGTGGTGTCCCGGTGGCCTAAGGTGCCGGCTGCAGGGGGTGGCGCGTTCAAGTGGCCGAAGGGACAGCTACGACACTGTGCGGACCCAAGTGTGTCCGGGTTGAAGTCGGCCCAGTGCCTTCAGGCCAGTGGGTGTGGAACGGCTCGCCGCAAGGTGTGAATGACCTTGAGGCCGCGGGGCCATTGTGGCGGCTAGCCATCCTGACGGATCTGCCGTTTTTGTAGGCTCGTGGGCCAAGCTCAAGTGGCGGCCAGTCAGCGTGCGTGTTGCATTTGCCGAGGGGTGGTATCCCAGTGGCTGGTTTTGCTGGTTGCAGGGCGTGGCGCGTTCAAGTGGCCCCATGGGCAGCTGCGACTGTGCAGACGCAGGTATGCCCGAACTGTTGGCCGTGTGACTCCAGGTCAGCTCGTCTGGGACGGCTCGCTGCAAGGGGTGAATGACCTTGAGACAGCGAGGTCTTCAACAAAGACGCCAGACCAGTCAGGATGGCTAGCCGCCACAGCTCCCCGCCAGACACATAACGAAGTGATGGTGTCCATCGTGAGGCAGGCGATGCTGTGTGAAATTATCCAGTACACATGCCGGTTTGAGAGCGTGTGTCGATGATGACAGAAGTAGCTCGGACCGGGTGCGACCTGTACAGAGGTGCAGTTGAGGCATCAACCCTGGGTGTGCTGGCGTGGTTTCGTCAACGCGTGCCGGTGAGTTGGCACGTTGGTATGAGACGGAAGAACGTTTCGGACACAAGGCATCCCAGTGAGTGCTGAGTCGGACGAATGCGTCAGTGAAATAGGCTCACTGTCATCCAGACACAAAAAATGGGAGAGAATGCAGTGTCGAAAATGTGAAGGTTCATCGCTGTATATGCGTTGGCATATTGAGTGTATACAAGCAACTCACGAATGATGGTTTCGTCGGTAACGGGCGGAAGAATGTCTCGGAAAAAAGTGAGGCGTTCAGATGGCAACACATATGGAAGTCTGATCTGCACAGTTTGATTGAGGTTTGAACTGGACTTGTATGGCCGAGCTTTGTAGATAACATCCATCTCGAATCGCGACAGGGTGACGCTGTCGCGTTTTCCTATCAATGAGCACGATGAGTGACACAGGAAAAACAACAGGGCGAAGTCGAATGGGGAATTTGTGGCGGTTGAGTTCAGCCACATCTGGTGATTGCGCGTCTATCACTTCGGGGTCACCAATTTGCAGCGGCTCAACAGTGAGAATAAGTGCTCTGAGCGCTACAACCACCAGTTCGAATCTCAAGTAGTGAGAAGAAGACAAAAGGCACCAGAATGTGGGGTTTATTGTGCACAGAACCCGGAGTTTTCCTCTCAGGCGACAGTGGCCACTAGCTAAGCCAGGGCTGGTGTTGACTGCGTCCAGTCAAGCCTGAGAGTCCCTGAGATAGTGGTGGCAGCCGCTTTTGTAGGCTTGTGGGACAAGCTCAAGTGGTGGCCAGTCCGCTTGCGTTGCATTTGCCGAGGGGTGGTGCCCCAGTCGCTTGTTTTACTGGTTGCAGGGGGTGGGGTGCGTTCAAGTGGTCGCATGGGCAGCTGCGACTGCGCGGACGCACGTATGCCCGAGCTGTTGGTTTTGTGACTTTAGGTCACCTCGTCTGGGACGGCTCGCTGCAGGGGATGAATGACCTTGAGGCAGCGAGGTCTGGAACAATGACGCCAGACCGGTCATGATGTCTGGCTGTTACATGTCCTCCACTGCGATGACAAGCTCCCTGTCCTCCTTGACATCTCGAAGAGGCATTGCCAGCTCTGCCGATAGTTCAGCCGAGGCAGTGGCTATACAGCTATCAAATCCAGTGCTATGTTGTCAGAAGACGTTGATACAGGCCCTCTGTCTTTCATGGCCACTGCCGACCTCAGATGGTTATTGCACGCTTTCCCCACCTCCTGATGACCAATTTGTGGTGACCACCACTCCATAAAAAATGACGCCAGACTGGCCATGGTGGCTGCCCGCATCTTTGTAACTGTCGCGGTCTGCAGTCACAAGTCACAGTGTTTATCTCACCACTCGTCCCTGTGGCCAAAAAAAACTTACTCACGAAAACTTCTTGCTATCCACCCTTTCCCACGGACGTCATTTTCATGTCCGAAGGGTTTATTCATGTTTTTTTATCAACTAACAAGCGAGGTGTTCGTTCGTAGTACGGCCTTTTGTCACGTCGTATAACGAGCTGCGGCATGATAAGCGGCGTACTTTAAGGAAGGTCGGAATAGCTTAAGAGGGGCATTGTGAACATTGTGCTGTGAATTCACAGAGGAGGTGTTTCGTAAACAACTGCTTCCGCCAACGAACTAACACTTGTCAAGCCTGGGGTAAGATGTGACACTTATAAATCGTATCAACTGTTCACACGTTCGTTCTTCGTGTAAGTATAATGGCCTGATGGTAAATTACCGAAAACCTGTGTTGACCAAGTGCCTTTACAGGAAAAGCATGGCTAAATTCGGACGCTAAGAGAATCAGCCTATCGGCCACATTCAATGACTATACTCTGAAGTGTCTAGGGGTATTGTCAGCCAGAGATTTGCATGAGAGAACAAAACAGGTGCTAGATATCCCTGAAGACGTGTCACTCAAAAAACCCAATACATAGTTTGTCACTCAAATAGTAGCGAAAATGGAATTTTCAGGGCACATGTAAAAAGAAGATGCACTTGTAGAGGAGATTTCGGATACTCATCTTCGGGAGCAGACGATGAAGGCGTAATAGAGTCAAGGCGACTGATTATCGTCACGGCGGGAATGACAGAGTCCACGATAAGAGGGCACTGGCGATGCAGCCATCAGTCAACACACCACATAAATGAGAGCCGTTCAAAGGGATCTCCAGTTTCCGAATACTGATTGATGAAGTCAGTACGCCGATTCAAAGCAAATATTTCCGTTAAACATCTCGTCTTCCTTTGATGTGGCTAGTCCCGGTTGCATCAACACATCCGCTATTCACCTGGTACACAGAATTCATTCGTTTGCAAAAGTCAGCTATTAACTGAACAGCATGTGCATGGTAGATTTCCAAGAATTCATTGCGATGACAAATTCTGGGTTGATCGGACCATAATAGCCATAGGAGAAAGCTCAGCGCAATTTCAAACTGAAGGAGTATTTGGCTAAATGCATTCGGAGAGCACACGGCATGGAATCCCAGAGAGTGTCAATAGCAACCAAAAACAAGCATTATCCATTGCGACCACATTCATAACAAGTAAAAGTATGTGAAGAGATGAGTCACAGGAAGCAGTTGCGAAGAAGGAGGCACGATCAATGGGACAAGATCTTCATTCGCCAGGCATTTCGGATTCCTGCTCGAACCCATCATCAGAGACAAAAGCAGATACGGGGGGCTTCAGTATTTATAGGGTGCAGTCGCCATGCTACCGCATACCTATGAAAATTCACGACCCTCCCCCTTATCAGAGTTCGTTACACTTGGTGTGATGACCATTTTATGGCCGACATTCGCGTCGTTAATTGCTGCAATTTCATCAGGGGTGTTGGATTTTGGTGTGGTGATTGCTCGACCATCTGACCCACGGACCCCGGCGTTAGGAAAAGTATTCGTCTGTGCCCTCCCGCATGGCTTACAACTCCGTCTAGGCGAAGTCCCAGAACCGAGTATGGAAGGGGAAGGACGTTGTGTTTCTTAATAGACTGGGGCCAGTGAATCATGCTCCAAGCAGCTCGCGGTTCACACGGTTGTCAGCTCTAGCGAGAATAATGGTCTCGTTGAATTTGAATATGTGACCGGATCTCGTCGAATGAGCCGAAATGCGCTGCATACAAGTCCCCGTGAACGAGGATTTAGCGAGAAGAGCAGTATTTCAGCACCGCAGAACGATGGTCTGAGTGCTCATCGAAGACTGCAATACGAAACTTCTCAAGTACCGTCAAAGGATTGGCCAATATAAGGTCAGAAGCTGTGTGTTCATGGACGAGGTCGGTACAGAGCGTGGCTGAACGAGTTCGCGAACAGAGAGTGATACGCGCGCAGCACTGGAGAACAAATTCCGAAGGCTGCCAACCCAACGCCGCCGTGTTGAATGAAACTTTATGCCGTAACATCTGCATCTGATCATCCGCCAGCCCCGCTGACATCAGGTTGTGCACCACTTTGTCGTTTTTGTCTCGATGTTTACTGGCTTTTCCTCTAAGCTCTTGTCGAAACTGTCCTTACCGTTCAACAGGACCATCGTAGTCCTACGCCATAAACGGATAACTGATATCCTGAATCATAAGCCTTCCTCAAGAGTAGAAGTAGTCTCGCAAATATTGCGTTTTTATAGTCATTTTAATTAGCTGGTGCGAAATTTGTTTATTCGGCCGTTGCATTTCCTCTCATTCGTCATGCTGAGGTACAAATATGAATGGCCTATTAAGTTGTCATGGCACTGCTAGTGATTATGACTGAATGCTGACAAAATTGCTCGACCACTGTTGGGACTGGATTCTGGGGAGCCCAAATCCAATGTCGAATTTGACGTTTAAAATTCATTAATGTCACATACTGGTTAATGATGCAGATTGAGGATCGCCTATTCTCGCAGCCTAGCCGCTGCTTATATCCTTGTAGGTTGGAACTAACGCATATTAGAGCTTTTTACGCTAGAGAAATGTATTCATTACGATCTGACCCTTGTTGTTTACGCCTAATTGGCGACATTTCGCCAGTTAATTAGATCGAAAACACTTAAACTACTTTCTTTAAGCAAATGCACGCGAACTGACTGATCCGTTAAAATTATTAATCAAACGAAACACCAATAACGCCATCCTACTTAGATTTGAGGGCACCGCATTCCTCAGGTTGAATAGTCTCCTCACTTCTCTATCGGCCAATAGAAAATTCGCTTCAATTGTAGAACCCAGTAAATGTGCAACTTCGATGTAGCCAATCATAGCGGCCTCAGCAAACAGCTGCTTAAATAGGATCCAAGTGCACTTTGCACGACCCTTCGAAGTATGAAGTGCGAGGACGCTAATAAGGCGACCCGCTTCACAGCGGTAGTAGCTGCCATCTTCATGATGTTCACTCTGGGATATATAGGCTCACAGGGTAAGTACTCACAGTAAAATCTCAGCGTGACTTTGTTTTTAATAAAGGCAATTTGTCACCGTACATAATTTCCTATCTACGCAAGTACGTGGACCCATCCATACACAACAGTCATGTTGTGTGGCTCACTGCTGCCGCTCTGGCATCTCAAGGTGTGATCATGCCCCTCTCGGGCCCGTTAATTCATAAACTCGGATTCCGCGTAATTGTTTTTGCCAGTTTTATCTTATATAGGTAAGTATCCTCCGAGGCTCAAACTGATTATAATTCTCACTGTTGAGTTTTTAAGAAGGCACTTTCATAAAGCATCTTAGTACATGCTTCCAAATCCCTGGTGTCAGTAACCGCTAAATACTGGTTGAGCTTGACTGACTGTAACACCTGAAAGAGCTTTTGCTGCTTAAGCCATTTGGGTAGATTGTTAAAGTTGGTGCTGCATGATTTAATGAATTAGCTCGAGTTACGTGGCATCCACCGGACAGGGACCTGAGGTCAAAATACTTCCCACTATTAGGGCTTTGGGCGTTTGCATGGACATCCAGAGTTGGCCCTCAAATCCGGTTTCCGGGAAGAGGGCGGGGGGAGTGCATTAGACCAAAACGGCGTGCGCATATCGATGATGAAATTGCGACGATTAACAACCCGGACGTGGACTGACGACCCATCATTGCATCAATTACGACCCCAACCGGTGATCGCAAGAGCTGTCAATTATAGTATGCATGTGATCCCACGGCAGCTTCCTTTATATATGACTGTCTCTGATTAGGAGTCCGAGGGAGAATCCGACACGTCAGGCCAATAAATTTCTCGTTTCAACGTCTTCTTACCATGAGTTGCTTCCTGGGACTCGCCTGTTCGTTTCTATCTACAGTACGCTTGTCTGGCTGCGTAGAATCCTCATGAGCACATACTGTGAGTGACCTATCTCATGAAATGTGGGCTGAAATTCTGAAATGCGTTTTCGATTAGGAAGGATTACTTGGTCGCGGTTGTTATACTGATTATCTTGTGGTATACTCTTATAACATTTCAGACTTGGCAGGATGTCGGCTTTTAAACGCACTTCTTTTCAATCTCCTGTGGAAAGCGTGCTCGGTAAAAAATGACTACTTAAGTAGCATGCGTTTTTCCCATTGATTTTCGATGGTCTTGGAAATTCAGACATATTTTATAGAAACCACAAACAAAAATATGCTTTCTTTTAGTCAATCAATAGAGAATTACGTCTTCTTTATATTTTATACTTAGGGAATGGGTATAATTAGGTTTTAAAAAAGTTTTCTAATTGCCGAAAAATTTGGAGCCTGATCATTCGTTGAATTAGCGCTTAGTGATTACACTCTACAAGGTGCATGCGTTCCGCGTAAAGAAAATCACATATTCTTCTATGCCGTTAAAGAGATATCATACAGAGTCCATAAAATTGTGCAATGGATGCGGACCATGTTGTACATTTCATGAGGAGCAGTGGTAAACGGCCAGGTACGATGCTATGTGAATGGACATATCGCGGTCTTAAAAAGTCTCATAATTAGAAACGTTTTTAAAAGCTAATTATACTTCTTCCTTAAGTATAAAATATAAAGAAGACATGATTCTCTATTGACTGACTAAAAGAAAGCATATTTTTGTTTGTGGTTTCTATAAAATATATCTGAATTTCCAAGACCATCGAAAATCAATGGGAAAAACGCATGCTACTTAAGTAGTCATTTTTTTACCGAGCACGCTTTCCACAGGAGATTGAAAAGAAGTGCGTTTAAAAGCCGACATCCTGCCAAGACTGAAATGTTATAAGAGTATGCCTTAAGCTAATCAGTATAACAACCGCGACCAAGTAATCCTTCGTAATCGAAAACGCATTTCAGAATTTCGGCCAACATTTCATGAGATAGGTCACGCACTGTAGCTACGGCCAAACATGCGCGTGTTTTGCGGCAGGTCTTAGACTTACACATTCTCCCTACGACCGCCACCGCAGTCAAGCCTAAAATCGGACAGTAGAGAGTGCGGGGGGGGGGAAATCCCTCCTCACGACATACGACACTTTGCTCAGCATAATGGACCTGAGCCAATTGATTCTATCCAGACACAGTAAAAGTCGTGGGTTCAAAGTCCTCCAGCTGGGTAAATAGCACGGTATTCTCGAGACCTGTTGAGTGCGACCTTTGTGGCATTCCCCCCCCCCCTCCAGGCGTGAGACCAGAGTCGTGTTTGAAGAGGCCCAGTTCCTGCGATGGGATCAGATCGTGTGTGGCGCATGCAGACGAACTGTTCGGGTTTTTCAGTCACTGCGCTTGCCCCCATCTCCATCTGTCCTCCATTCGTGGAAGGTGAGTCAAGAATGAGTGAATGCAGCGGATGCTGGGCAAATCTGCCCCACTACAAACCACTTTGGGGGGCAAATCGTCGCTTCTGCGGCCACTCCGTGCTGCGTGCAGTGGACATCACTGTTTGCAACGCTCGAACTGCCGGTTCTTAGCCGACTCATAATTGGGCTGCCCAACCCTCGGCTGTCGTTCATGCCTTAGCTTACAGACGTACGCCATCAGCTAGCTTCTGCCTACAATACAGCTTCGGCCGGTTTGATTGATGCTTAGGTTGAGCTTGTATGAAACCTCGAGCTGACAACTTTCCTTGGCTTCCAGAACTTGACATTTGGCCATCCGCTGCAGTCCTCTCTAGAATGGCGCCTTAGTCGACTTGATTTATGTTTCGACTAATATATCCGGTTGGTGTCTAGGCTTCGCGTGCCGTCTTGTACGTGCTCGACACGTGGCTCTAAGAGTCTCCCACCTGTACAGGTCAAAACCTTCGGCGGCTGAGCAGTAGCACACCGCGGTAGCTTACTCAACGTCTACTTCTGCTCAGAATGCGCATTTAGTCGATTTCTTCGAGGCTTTGAGGCTTCTTCTGTTGGATTTTAGTGGGTTTGTCAGGGAACTCTGCCGGAATCATCCGTTTGGGAAATTGACACGCCCCACGAATCCTGGTTGTTGCCTATCCTACCAGCTGACCCAAAGGTCTGGTTTCGTGAAACACAGACGTGACGTTAACAGATTCCTAACGTAAAGGGATAATAAGCAGATTATTTGAGGCCCTCAAGCGTCGATTATTCCAGTGCTGTTGGCTGGGCAAACAAATGGCGGATTTCAGTCTGCCGTTTATGATAAAAGAGCGCGCTCTCCGGAACAAAAGTGCAGCATGGCTGCCTCACTTGGCCTCAGCTGTTGGTCCCTCCGATATGCCGCCCGAGCGTGAAAACGGAAAATTTGGCAAGTGAAATACCCCTTCCAAAGATTGCGTTTCGTGCTTCTCCGCTTGTCTGTCAAAGTAGTTATCTTCAAAATTTGCTAGAAATCAGTATGCGATAAATAATTACCACCAGTGAGTCCTAGTAGGGTTCGCATTTATCACAAGTATATTCATTTAATGAGAGCAACGCGGATGTGTAGTACTGATGACGAATGCACACTTTGCTTTCAACGAAGGGACAGGTGATTAAAGATTCTGGGGATCGCCTGAGCTGCCGGCAATCATTCCGTGTGGATAGACGAAGACGGTGGCATAAGATCCGTTGGCTGATGAGCATTAGACAGTTCATCACAGCCATTATCCCGCTGCCATTGTTGCCAGATGCACAATGATTTGCACAGTTGAAGCATTTCCTCATTAAGTGTTAGAAAATGTTCGTAAGTGTGTCTTTTGACGTCGTAAGTTAACCTGGACTTCAATACCCGTAAAATCTCTAGATATATCAGTCGCGTCAGGATGCTTATTTTCGAATGAGCATCTTTCCAGCCGACTGTAAAAACTACACTCGGCAAAAAATTACTACTCTAGAAGCATACATTTTGCCCATTAGTTTTAGAGGCCCTTATAAATTCGCATTGGTATTATAAAAAGCATCAACAGAAATGTCCCTTATTATGCATATTCTGAGGAAACGTATGCCTTTGTAAATTTAAAGGTCACGGAATTAGTGGCCTCTGGTTTGATTGGGTTCGTAATTATGAGATTTTTTAAGGCCGCAAAATGTCTATTCAAAAGGCATCGTATCTGTTCATTTACTAATGTTATCCGTCGGGCATTCATCATGGCCTACATCCATCGCAAGGCCTTATGAGTCTTTTATGACTAATTTTTAGTAGCGTATAGAAATGCCTGGTTCTCATCACATGAAAAATATACGTTTATTAGATACGAAACTTCGGAGGCAAGTGTGGCAGTAGGTGCGGTACGAAATTCTTCGGGAATTGAAAAAGTTTTCCGTAGCCAAAACTTACCTAATTTGATAAATACGTAACTGTCAACGCGTTTTTCGAATGATATATTTAGATTTATAAGGACATTGGAAATCAATGGTTAAGATGACTGCTTAATAAGTAGTCACTTTTTACGGAATGCAGTCTCCACTGGCTGCCCAAAAAACCCATCCAAAAGCCGGTATCCCGACGAGACTAAAATATCTTTGGACTCTGCTACAAGATAATCAATACATTGTCCTCTATAAATAATCATTTAGAACCAGAAAGATCTAATTTGCACTCTACGAGGTCCGCCTGTGAAGCTGCATCAACATCCTTATTTCAGCTGTCATCCTTGACACCGGAAAAAAGAGCAATCTGCATGGGTCTTTCTCAATTCCTACGAAACCTTTCAGCGCAAGGGTTAGAGTTCGGGAAATATATAAGTGGAGGCCTTCAAATCCTCATATTCCGCTAAGTGGGTTTTAGTATAATTTACGGAAAATCGACAGAACTCAGTAAAAGCTCGGTTTAAGGAGGTGAAGGGAAACGTCAGAGGACATTAAGTCCGCTAGTATGTAGCAAACAATTGTTGCCTTGTTCAACGACGAATAAACCGATCGATCCGTCAGGGCTTGCGGCCCTAAATAACGGCAGTTCAATAACTGCAGTTCAATGCTCCGGTCGTTTCTAAACTGCAACCGCAAAGTGCGATAACTTGCATCGTGTACGACATGTGCACTCTTCTTGGCTATGTAAGGGAGAGAAAACCACAATCTTGTCGAAACATTTAAAACCAAGTATGCTTTTCGTGCCAAATCGGTGATTTTGGCACGAGGTTATACTTGTTGTCCAGTGGAGGGGCGTTGACATACTGTGGGAGGCTTAGAACTTATCACAGCATCTATAATAGCGGAGTTAGCGGGCTAATAAACAGCGAATGTGAATCAGTAGCTAAGTGAGTTAATGGAGGAACACATTATCTGCAGAACACATTATGTTTACGGAACTGCCGGTTTTTATCACAGAGTGTGCTTATGCACGAAAGGGTTTTATCAGGTTCCGTTGAACATTATGTCAAAATGACTGGAGCCTAGTCAATGAGCAGTCGCCTCCAAACGATTACCTCTTCGATAGAATGTCAGGAGACGTTTGAGTATCGTTCAACTGTAATACCCATACTTTATGATATGCAATGAGAAACAGGTTAGTAAAATTAGCCGCCATAAAAGGAGGCGATGCTTCATATTTTTTAAGGCATAACTCTTTAATAAATAATGATGAATTTGCCAAAATGCAGTGTTAACTGCAGAGGCTGCGCTTTTATAGTTTGACCAACGCTTCATGCTCCACATACGAAGGAACGGTTGTCTAAAACAGATTACTATCAGTTTATTTATCCTTGAACATTAGAAAGAGGCTAAATGCTTACAAACGGAGACGATGCTGTGCGTCTCAGTCAAAAGCGAATTGGCAGCACATATGCTACTAACTTTAAATGATCCTCAGAGATTCAGTTCCCCATATCTGTCAAACGTCATTTGTTTTTGATAGTTGTGATGCCCTTTTAGTTAGAATGCCTGTCGTTCTAATCTGAACTTGTAACTGGGCGTTATATGCATGCAGTTCCCTCCTAAGCCTAAGATATTAAAATGTTATGGACGGTTGACATTCTTATTTATGTTGGGTACTCTTGTCTTGCACAAACACATTCTCCTTGTTCTGTTAGTCGACTGGTACATGGCATTTGAGCTAGCTATGTTAAAAACCATTGTTAAAATCAAACGTCAATATCATGGCCACGAGAATGGACATACGCCGATTTACTGAATGACCGAAACTAACAAGTTCAGATTAGATGGCAAAGATTGCAGACAGACAATCGTTTTTTCAGACTGAACTCAATCAGTCTAAGATGGTGAAGGAAAATGCCGCTGCTTCTGATTGAATAAAGACAGAGTAAGTCGACGGGGTGCGTCCATATGACTGCATCGTCATTAGCATGGTTTTCGATGCCGCAAATGCTTATTCAGGATAGAAACAGTATCTACTTAGTTTAAGTTACCAGCTTCCTGGTTGCTTTTATCCCACTGCATTTGTTTTATTTCAGTGGAGGAATATTGCTGAGTTACTTTACAATAAAGATCAATTTCGGCGTCTTCCTATTGACCCAATACTTAATGCTTGGCACGGGACTTGGCTGCTGCTACAGTCACTTGCTCGCCTTGGCTGCCTCCGTAAGTGCGCCTCAACACTAATTTCATATGTTTCCTGACATACATAAACGGAAGATGAATACAGTTGGAAGGTTCAGTATTAACTTGAAATTATTAAAGTAGCCCCTAGTGACAGTGAGTGTATTTTTTTACAAATTGGATGTCTATAGATCAATTTAAATACCTCTACAAGATGTCTGCTTTGACCTACCAGTGACCTATCAAATTCTTCCTTTCCATTTGAGGGAAATGCACATTGCCGCAAATATGTGTGTTGGCTTCACATAAGTAGGATCATATAAGTAGGTTAGTTTTCAGAATAATGCCATTTCACATGAAACTCGCTCAGGGCCTAATTCTAGCTGCGTCGGACATGGGATCCTAAGAAAATATAAAGTCCAGTATTCACTTTTAATGTCTTTTTTAATCTTCCATCCAGAAAATGAAAAAAAACGATTGCGGCTTTATCACGGTTCCCATTTCAGCCATTTGAAACTATCATTTGGTTAGAAAGAAAGTTAATAATTGAGCAATGTGAACGCATCATTAAACGGTCCTTTGTAATCCGGAGACTTTTTCGTGAAGGTTCTTGTCTTAAGACGCGGAATATTTTAGTGAAAACGAATAAAGTTTTATTTAAGTTCTGCCAAAAGACTTTGGCGCAACTCGGCTGTTAGAGCACGCAAAATGTCATCCAAATGAGCCAAGTATTCCCTTGGTGCAGTGCCGCGCTAATAGTTCTTTTCCCTTAAACATGATATGAACCATGTAGCTCGTGAAACTAATTTGAAAGAGCATTGAAAGAAGCATTGAAAATCATTGGAAAAATGCGGCTGCTGCTACTGGCTCATGTGTTCTTGGCCAAGAGGTACGCAACTTGCTCACTAAAAATCCACGGGGCTATACTCAGTCGCTTGCAATAAATGATGCATCTGTTGACTACCTACCTCATGAAGTGTTGGCTGAAATCCTGAAATGCGTTTTCGATTAGGAAGGATTACTTGGTCGTGGTTGTGATACTGATTATCATAAGGCATACTCTTATAACATTTTAGACTCGGCAGGATGTCGGCTTTTAAATGCACTTCTTGTCAATCTCCTGTAGAAAGCGTAGACAGTAAAAAATGACTACTTAATTAGCATTCATTTTTCCCGTTGATTTTCGATGGTCTTGCAATTTCAGATATATTTTATAGAAACCATGTATAAAAGTATGCTTTCTTTTAGTCAGTGAAATGAGAATCACGTCTTCTTTATATTTTATACTTAAAAAAGGAGTATAATTAGGTTTTAAAAAAGTTTCCAATTATGAGACTTTTTAAGACCGCGAAACGTCAATTCACATAGCATCGTACCTGGCCGTTCACCACTGCTCCTCATGAAATGTACAACATGGTCCGCATCCATTGCACAATTTTATGGACTCTGTATGATATCTCTTTAACAGCATAGAAAAATATGTGATTCTCTTTACGCGGAACGCAGGCACCTCGAAGAGGGAAATCACTAAGCGCTAATGCAGCGAATGATCAGGCTCCAAATTATTCGGCAATTAGAAAACTTTTTAAGACCTAATTATACTCCTTTCTTAAGTATAAAATATAAAGAATACGTGATGTTCTATTGATTGACTAAAAGAAAGCATATTTTTGTTTATGGTTTCTATAAAATATATTTAAATTTCCAAGACCATCGAAAATCTATGGGAAAAATGTATGCTACTTAAGTAGTCATTTTTTACCGAGCACGCTTTTTACAGGAGATTGAGAAGAGGGGCATTTAAAAGCCGACATCCTGCCAAATCTGAAATGTTATAAGAGTATGCCGCAAGATAAGCAGTATTACAACCGCGACCAAGTAATCCTTCCTAATCGAAAACGCATTTCAGAATTTCAGCCAACATTTCATGAGATAGGTCACTCACTGTAAGTTCAAGTGTTGTGCGAAGTCATTGGCAGGCATTTTATGCGTAAAAGACCAAAATATGCATGTATATACGGTATCTGTGCAATCACATAGCATTTCTGGTGACATTTTGAAATCGATTTTTAATTAGATGTAGCGCAAAATTATCCGAAAATTTTGCATTTACGCCAGGATGCCGGCAGCCTGAAAAACCACACTCAGTATTAAGCACTCAAGTATGTAATAGATTTCTTTACTAACACTTTTTGATGTCAGTTTAGACTCAAATATATTTTTCAGAAAACAAGCATAAAATATTGTTTCACTAAAGCCTTCAGTGGCAGATTATATTCCACCGGCAATTTTTGCACTTTATGAAATGGATTTTTTGTTTTAGAAAACGTCTTTAATTATGAGATTTTTAAATCACAAAACATCCATTGATGCAATTTGGTACCCTGCCCACACAGGGTTTAAGATCAACGCTTTTTGGCCAAAAACGGCACGACGACAGCGCTTGTATCTTTTTACTCCTCGGCCTAGTAACCTACGATTTCTTATTTCTAAGCATGAAGAAAAGCCCACATGGAAGCGCTTGAAGAAGATAGAAAGGTTGAAAAAGAATTGATGGAGACCCATGACAGCATATACAAATATTTCTAATAGGGGCTTATCCACTAGATGAAGTGCACACTATCTAGTTGAACATTTGAAATAGGGATAATTTTTTTAAGATGTCGCTTTAAATTAAAATGATTACATGAACTATTATTGTCCTTTTGAGTACCCCTAGGTTATTTCCACCAGGTTCATCGCCGAATAATTTCAACGTCAAGGATCTAGGAAGTCTTACAATCTACATTTGAAACCTCTGGGCTAAAAATGACCTTAATAACTAATTCATTGAGAGAAATTTTTAGAATACCGCATTCTACGACGGATGAATGCTAAAGTACGACACTGAAAATTTGCTTTGGTGATTGTACCTCATCGCATCCATACCTACTGATCGTACTTCCTAACCAATACTTAGTGCTTTCCAAAACAACGAGGCTTGATCGTGGGTTTATGTGTCTGTGGATTTGGGTCCGGCGCCATCGTCCTGACTCCCCTGCAAACGCTTCTCATCAACCCCAACAATATCCATGTCAACAACGAAACTCAGTAAGTTCTGCCCTCCTGCTGCTCTGGTTGCATTTTTATTTTCCTGTCCCGTTATCGCACAGCCGTCTTCCTGCAATAACCCCCATCTGAGGTCACTTATATCCAATGAGGTGGAGCAGGTCAGCGGCACAAACCGTTTCTTCATATACTTTGCGAATTTGGCCAATTATGACTTTGAACAGACGCACAGAGTAACTTGAGTTTGCACTGGATATCCACTTCCCGAACTGCTTAAAGACTTGCATTGTCTCCAGCGTTTCCGTCTCAGATTTTATGCGTGAAGATGTCCGTTATTGGTTAACCAACGACTTGGATATCCTTCAGGTAGTTTGCCACAGATAATATCTTAATTGAATATGCAATGCCTTATTCAAAGATATCATAGCCCTATTGTGACCAGTAGTTTTGGGACATGGATGGTACATGCACTGGAAGGGCCCAACTCGCTGTCATAATTTGGTAAAGCCAAACGATGTTCAACACGTCGGCTAAGGTTTCATGGATTGTGGCGAACGCTTCAATGGTTCCGGGGAGGCACTGTTTGAAAGGGTGTCCCCGATTAATCTGAAAGCCTACGCTGACGCTTCAACGCGAGTTTTACTGTTGAAGAAGATCGTCGTAACCTGCTGTTTGCGCAGTACAAGAGTGTTCTCGATGTCAGGCGGCTGACCAGCTCAGTGAGTGGACTGCTGCCTGTGGGTGGGGAGAAAGGGAGAGCAATGCGACGTCTCAGTACATTTTCCACACAATAAACAATCTTACACGCCAGAATATATCCCAGTACGCTCAGAACCGTGGCTTTGAGGGTGGCGGACGGACAATTTTACGCAGACCTCGCAGTCGGCCTGTGAGTTGCGTAAGGGGCCAGCTCTCCCGCTCTGTCGGCTCTTGCGCCCGACTCCGCCCCCGATCTTCATGACGCTGTCTTGACACCATGTCCGGGTGGGTGAGAAGGTGAGTGTGCGGTATATGCAACGCAAGTCTGCTACCATCTACAAACAAATGCATCCGTAACTTACCGTCTTTGCCCTCACTCTAATGTATTGCATACCCTGGACTTAACCGAAGTAGACGGATAAACTGCCGTAGTATTAAATTAGTGTAATCTGAGCCGCGTAATCAGTTCTAACGCAGAACGGAGCCCTAAATACTCCAATAAAGATAGAAAATATTTGTTGGTTTTTAAAAAAGATTTGGATTGCGAAATACTTTTTTCTTACTTTCCGTTAAAATTTCATTCAGGGTTTCACAACTACATTGCGTATGCATTCAACCAAAGCCAAACGATGTTCAACACGTCGGCTAAGGTTTCACGGATTGTGGCGAACGCTTCAATGGTTCCGGGGAGGCACTGTTTGAAAGGGTGTCCCCGGGTGTCAACCTGTGCTAAACCCCCTCTGAGGTCACTTACATCCAATCAGGCAGAATATGTCAGTGTCACAAACCGTTTCTTCAGAAAATGAAGATGCGATCACTGGAACAAGAAATTTATTTGCCTGACGTTTCGGATTGTCACTCGAATCCATCATCAGAGACATTCGCAGATAAAAGTGATGGTGGCACCAGGAGTGCAGCATTTATAGCACGTGACTGCCGTGGGACCGTATGCGCACTGCAATTAACAGTTCTCGCAATCACCTCTGGGGGTCGTAATTGATGTGATTGTGGCTTGTCAGTCCGAGACCGAGTCGTTAATTGCCGTGATTTCGTCATCCGTGCTGGATGCTGGTGGGACGTTTCTTCAAACACTCTGCTAATTTAACCAATTATGACTTTGAACAGACACACAGAGCGACCTGAGTTTGCCCAGAATATCCACTTCCCGAACCGCTTAAAGACTTCTAAGTACCCACTTACATTGTCTCCAGCAATTCCGTCTCAGCTTTTGTGTGTGAAGTTGGCCGTTATTGGTTAATCAATAAATTCGATATTCTCCAGGTGGTTTGCCACAAATAACATATAAACTGAATATGTAATGCCGAAAATCTTTATCTTAAAAGCGAGGCATTCATTTGACAACTCGGGCGTTTGTGAAAAAAATGGAGAAGACTGGATTTATTACCAAAGGAGTACAAGAAAGAATATTGTTGATCATGTTTTCTATAAGGTATATTGGAATTCATAAACGCACAATTCTTGTTATTAAAACCCTTATTAAGTCGTCTTTTTTAATCTAAAACATATTCCAGATTTTCGGTTAACATTCCATAGGATAGCCATTTTCTGTGTGGTTTGTATAAGCAAAACCAACAGTCAGTTACGCACGGTTTGGGGGTGACTGTGCAGGTCTATCTATGCCTGGCTGAGCTCTCATTCCAGGCCGAGGTTGCAATCACCTTGCGGCATGTTTTTCTTTCAACGTGCTGATGCTCGTGATAGCCGCGAATTTGAACTCATGATCGGTCTCGAAGATGTGGGCAGCCACATGTGAGAATTGGACGTTCTCTTGTCCAGCTAGCTCATGTTCGTGTGTGCGCGATCCGAGCATGTGTTCAGTCAGACCTGCGTGGGAGAAAGAACAGTTAAGGCGCAGAATTCGATACAGTACTCCAGAATGCTCATCGGTACTTAATCTGTCCTCGATTTTCATGGAGCTGTGTCGAAAACTCTTCACTATCGTGCTGTAGTCGACGGGTCTTCAGTCACTGTATCGAGAAAGACTTTGGGTGCGTTCTTTAATTTACATCCACCACTGTGAACAAACAGCGCTAAAGGACAGGTATTTCACTAACAGATAAGGAGTTAAAATTCATTTCTGCTAAATAATTGGAAATCCAAATGACTGTTCCTTCTTCAAGAAAACTCAAGTTTCATTTCTGTCACATGCATCAAAACTGTCAAAATAGCACTAAAGGTTCCTAATAATAACGAATTACGCCTGCTTTTGTGCTACGCGTTGTGCACCTGACTCCGAAACTTTGAGTAATTATTTAACACTTACCAGTACCACAATATCGAACAACCCATTTTCACAACGTCAACCGCTATAGACCGAGGATATTCGTTTTCCCTAACAAGAGAATAATAGGGTTGCATGCTGTTATTTAACTTATTTTACCCTCTAGCTGAAGCCTCTCACCCCTCTTTTGCAGAATGTTTGAAGACGAGGAGCTTTTACATCGGGTACCGAGGGCATTCCTCATAATTGGAGGAATCTTGGCAGGCATACAGCTGATTGCTTGCATGGTTATGCGGCCGAAACCATCCGATGAGAAGGCTTCACTTGTACGTTCGTTTTTTAATTGATAATTTGCTCTTTATTCAGAGCTTCTCTGTATAACGTTTCTTCTATCTCTTAAATTTAGACCTCGAGCAAGTCTAATGGTCTAAAAGTTGAACCGTAAGCTTTTTTCTCTCAAAACCATGCTCGGTTAAGCGCCTTTCTGTGTAATTAAACTTTTATATTACTATGACTGGTTAAAACCGAATTCGCAAATTAAACACTGTTGTATAGGTAGAAGGATGTTACTGCCATATGCAGCGTGTCCCACCCATAATGCCAAAGTTACATGAAAAGTCCCGGTTTTCAGAACGGATTCCTACTGTACGAATAAATATCGAAATCTCTTGATTAGGTTGCAATGGTCCTCACCAATCATTGCAAAATCACGGCAACCTATATGTCTTAACCAGCGGACTTAGTATCAACATGCATTATTATTTATTTCAAATTAATTCTTCCTGATCGACACTTAAAGCTATTTTTTGGAAACCGATGCTGCCTGCCTTCTTAATAAGTAACGACTTTGGATCCGCTGAATATTTATACTGCTGCACAGCGCGATGGCTATACTGTAAAAAACACGAAAGAAAATGTTTATTTTTTTAGATTATACCCAACAAATTCTAGATTTGATTTATTGTACGACATATAGTAAGAGCCCCCACCAAAAATTAACGGAATGCAGAACAAAATGCAAACGGTATTCGGCCTTATTCTGAATGTGTACTTTAATCCAATTTTAGAATGAAGGCTATAGATAACCAACCTGCCGAAAAGGAAATTTCCCCGCCTGAGTTGTTCAAAATGCCCGAAGTATATATTCTCTGGAGCATAATGTTCCTCAGCTTACTCCCACTGACTCTCGTGATGTCTGCCATTAAGGTAAGTGAAACGTTTATCGACACTGTTGCTAATTATGTGAACGAATGTCTAGAATGTTTACACTTATCACTGACTAGGGCAGAAGCGATGGCAAGCTTAGTTCAACAGTACTACTGCTATACCAGTTTGACTACATCATGGCGAATTTTACTCTCTCTTCCTTAAATTGCCGAGAAGCAGCTTTGCCCGACATTATGAATATATAATGGAGAACATAATCAGCTCATCAAGCTTGTTGTTTCAGTCCTCCCTATATTTCTTGGCCTCCGTCCGTTAGTTTTCATACTGTCACAGTGTGACATGCTAGAAAATCTCACAGCGGACTTTAAAATGATAACATTTAAAATAGGTCACATAGAATTTTTATTAGCACTTCCTGCGACAGAAATCATATCCACGCATATACGGTGTCTGGCCTACGTCAGTAAATGGTAAAGTTCTCACAAGTGTTTTAAGTTAAAAAATCACTTGGGTGGACTTGCAATGTGATTACCATGTAGCATAACCCCAAGATATTTCCGTCAAGCCGTTATACCGACCGTCGAATGAGCGTCCTTCTGACCACCTCCAGAGCGTGTATTCTGGAAAAATGATTATTCATGTTGAATGAGTTTCCTTGTTGAACATCATTATCCTTGTTAGTTGAAAAAGATTTCATAGCAAACGAATGCAAGATTGTTTTTGCTGGTATCCAGTTTGCGACAGTTAACGTCTGTTTTAAAACAGTTCTTTGATGAGAGCGCTCTTTTCGGATTTTAACGTTTTTAAAGCTCTCGAATGATTTTGGACCGCCCTGTAGTTGTACTCCTCTTCATGGCATACAAACTATGCGCTCTGTAGTTCCCATTGGACGAGAAGCGTATATTTCTACATGCTGTTAAGGGCTTATGTTATTGCACAAATAACGTGCTCTATGCTCAAAACTTCATACGTAGCACTAATAAGCGGATAAATATCATGTTGAATGAATGGGTACTATATGATCTTGAAAATCACATAACTTACCGATCATCATTCTTTCGTCAAGTGCATTGTTAACGAAGCCAGTTGTTACCGCAAATTGAGCATCACAGTAGATATTTTCGTATAAGCTTTTCACAAAACAATTGTGAATTTACAGGAGCATCTAGAAACCTAGAGAAAAATTTCCGCTACCGAGTAGCCAATTTGCTTCGACTGCAGTTCTTGTGGATGGGGAAAAAATACTCGCACATATGCAGGCATCTTGAAGTGCTCGAAATATCTTGAAATTCTTCTGCACGATGATGCACCTGTTACACGCCAACCCAGAAAGGCCTTTCTAGGTGAATATAAACCTCCTAACTTCGGTTAACGTTTGTATGATATTGGCCGGCAGTTGAACGTATGCACATGCGACATGCACGACCAGATATTGTGTGACAGTAAATCAGATTGAAGGACGATCTGTCGGCACATAATTTATATTTATATTCCCATGTGGCTAAGTGGCGTGCTCAGTTTCTGCTGTATTTTGTCAGTCTGTAAATTCATATTGACCCAACTGTGAAAAATTCGGCGCCTCGGTGGGATTCGAACCCACGCATTAAGGGGACGGCTTTAGTAAAGCCAACGCTCTAACCACCTGAGCTACGAGGCCCCGCCGGACGACGCGATTTTAATCACATTTGGGTCAAGTTATCCGCCCAACCTACTGCAACGTCTGGAATCCACCAAATATGATACAGAAAGTTGACTGCCCAAGCAGGATTTCCCAAGTAATCCACCTAGAATCCACCAGATGACTACCAGGCTCACGTAATTCATAGGTATTTTGGCACATTTTGAATAATTCAAAACATGTTGTTAATGAACCTGCAAACTTATCAGGATAAACTGGGTAATAACCGAAATAAATACTACAAAGCACAGCTCAGTATACGTCTATTCCTAGAAACGTGTCTGCTGCACAGCCCCTACAAGTTGTGCAATCGGCTAAACCTCCCATACTTTGCCGTCCTTTTGGGTTATGTGCAAGGGTTCGCACGGTATGATGTAAATCGCTTTTAGTAGTCCAGGAACAATTACTGTTACAGTTGCGTCAGTGCGTCTCTCTCTCTTTGCCACTTGCGTTCCGCAATAAATAACGCGTTTAAATAACGCGAGCTTGAAAACATCGAGAAATTATACGAGAGGAGGGGCAACTACGTCCTGAAAATACTACCCTTATTTAACTCTGTCTCTGGTGATCCGGGCTAATAACGCACCTTTTCAGCTGTCGTGTCTCCTTCTTCGCCACTCTCAATTGTTTATCTTGTACTCCTTGATCAGATAGTGTCACATAGTGGGCCCTCGAGACAATGGATGATTGCCCTATTTTGAAACAGCAACAATGATTGCAAGTGCTCTAGAATTTCCTTCTGCCGTTTTGTAACTTGCAAGTAACTGAGAGTAATTATGGCACACGTATGGCGGCTGAACACAGATGTTTAAAATGGTATTCCTCACGGCTTATCCACCTGCACAGATCATTGGACAGATGAAGATTGACGACGACTCATATCTCAGCACTGTGGCAACACTCGGCGCCGTCGTTAATACTATTAGTCGTATGGCCTGGGGTCCGGCGTGTGATGTGTTTTCCTTCAAGGTAAGTTCTTCCTGATTACAAAAAAGCTACGACACAAGTCTTATTTTTTGATAAATCTTTTATCTTTGCCTACCTTAACTCTAGAGCGGAAGAAGTCGGAGGTCACCGGGCGGAATCCTCTTGACACTAATCAGCCTTTTTCGATTTATACATAGCGGCAACCAACGGCTCTAGGATTAAAAATAGCAAAACTCGGAGCATCATCTCATACTTGTGCAGACGCCGTAAAAACCAGGAACGATGAATTATACTCTTTCACCTACTGTGCTTTGTAAAAAACAAAGGCGGTCGAAAAGCGTCAGAAAGTACACGAATTTTAACCGCGGTTAATGTGTTACTTTTGAAAACAACTGCTGTGTTTGCTCTGTGAACATGAAAATGATGTCTGTCATACCAGGCAGAAAATAGCTATTCATCACACTTCGTATGTGAAGAATTGACTTTGGGCATTGCGACGGTGAAGTCCAGTATCATAATTGTGTTTGTTTGCAGTTGAGGATTAACTTGACACTTATAGGCAGCACAAGGTTACGGACAGGGAAGAGGTAGCTGAACTGGTCGTTTCGGGCTTGCTAACTGTCACCAGTAGGCCATGCCCGACCGCATGTTTGACGCACCTGGGATTCGGACCAATGATCTTTGTTCATTGAGTTGAACATCTAGTCGACTTTGAGCTACGGGCCGCTGTCCTGTCGGCTACGATCGGAGTTATCGATTATGCTGGAAGTGCATTTACATTCCTGACCATAACCGACAGGACAGCGGGCTCGTGGCTCAATGGTAAAGGTTTCGATTCGACGAACCT